CATCAGCCCGGATATGTCACGTAATCTACAAGCACATTCTTTGTACACTTTTATGTAGAGCCAATCATTATGGTATCTAGACACAATCTGGATCGCACCCTCTCTCTTCATGATCCTGTGAAATTTTAGGACTTTTGGGGAAGAACCCATGTTTTTCATGCTGACTTCTTTTCTCCTTCTCCCAGCTCCTAGATTTGTCTGCTGGATGAGCAGACAATTATTATGCAGCATCTAGAAGTTGAAGAGTGTAGTCACATTACCTGTTCAATGTATATGTGACTAAAATTTCCACTTCTGCGTTTGGAAGGATAAGGAGGAAAGGAGGGGAGGTTTTGGGCAAGCAGTTAAGAGATTCTGCAAAGCCTGCTTAATTATTTCAATAATCAATGAATTATAATTGACTAATTAATAGTCTACCTCATTTCAGAGAAGATTTGAGTGATGTATGTGTATATATAAAATAAGATTAAAAGAATGCATGAATAGAAAGACCAGAGGAAATATAATGTGAAGGTCAAAGCTGGGGAGAATTAGAATAGAACCATTTACACCCATGTGAGTAAAGCCAAGTTCAATTTGGCTCTGAACTTCCTGTGACTAACATGGAAAGGGAAACATAATTGATAAAGTCTAAATCTAAATTTAATTCACTGAAAAGAAACTATGCCAATATTGCAGTGACTTCCTCCCTCCCCCATTATTTAAAGCATAAAAAATCACATGGGGCAGAGCTTTCCTAAGTCCCATCTTGATGTGTTGTTCATTTTTAGGGAATTGAATTGGTTTTTTTTCCTGCTATAGGTCATAACTAAATGTATTATTTCATTACCTCAAATGTCACCTAGAAGAAAAAAACTTCTCTCACAATGTCAATTTTTTTAAACTTTTTTTTTTTTAACAGTGTATTCAATTTAAGCTTGGGCTATAATTAGCTCACTTGACACAATCTGGCTTGTTCATTCGGAGTTCAGTTATAAGAACCTACTCTAGTTGCTGTATAGAATAATCTAGAAATACTCATATCTTTCTCTGTATTTCCTCCTGCATATTCCTGTTTCTAGGTCTTTAGTCAGTCTGTGGACTCTGCCTCAAATATGCCTGGTAGAAATTGCAAAGGGTATGATATTTTACCCTGCTCACAAGCTAACAAGTTAATGGCCACAGTTTTAAGACTATAGCAAACAGCGGTAGACAAAGCATTAGCATTGGCCTTGGGCCCTGAGCTCCACTTCCTGCAGAGGCACAAAAAGACTATGTGATACCTGCAGGCTTGATGGGTTGTCTTGCAAGAGGGGATCCCTGGGACGTCTGGGTGGCTCAGTGGTTGAATATCTCTGTCTTTGGCTTAGGGCGTGATCCTGGGGTTCTGGGATCCAGTCCTGCATCAGGCTCCCCATCGGGAGCATGCTTCTCCTTCTGCCTATCTTTCTGCTTCTCTGTGTCTCTCATGAATAAATCAAATCTTTAAAAAAAGAGGGGATCCCTGACCTTTAGGAACCTGAATATTTTATTTTTTTAAAATGGGCAACAAGGATGCCTGCTTCTTTGCCCTGGAGAAAGACGTTATCTCTATCTTCCAAGGTGGTTGGCCATGGAAACATCCTTGAAAAGATAGTTTGGGGCAATGACAGTGCATCTACTTATAAGAAAATCAGAAATGTGATGGATCCAGGAAGAATGGTTTCTCATTACTACCTTCACTCTTTTATATCTTTAAAAAAAAACTCCATTCCTGAAAATCAACATTTTAAGGGCTGCCTTATTTCTTGGTTCCTACATTTCAGTGAAATGTTCTCTCTCTCAGAACTCTCTGGGAACTTCCATTATAATTATGATCCCTACCAGGATTTTTAAATTAATCTTCTCAAACAATCTTCTCTGTTTCTAATGTTTTCATATAAGTCAAGAGTTTTTTCTAAGGTCTTTGAGGGCAGAAACTATTGGGGCTTATTTTTTACCCACTATAGTACTCAATATTATAGATAGGATTAGAGAATATATAGGAATATGAGAAAAGACCACAATTAGAAAGGTTGTCCATGGTAACAAAATGATAAATAATTGTCCATAATTTCCCATCTGTCATGTTTTAGTGACCAAAGAAACAGAATTCCTAACAAAGAGTCTGAAAAGTTTTTATGACTTCATAACTGTAGCATGTCAGGATTCTACAGCCAGCTCTTGGCTTGATTTTACTGGAGTTTAATCTTGGTGTGTTAGTGAATTGTGTTGATTTATCTCTGATTCAACACAAGGGATGGTAGGGACTCTTAGGCAAGTCTGGCTGTTTTTATCCAAAAGCTTCTTGAATAAATAGAACCATGCAATGTGCAAAAGACAGGTGGCAGAGATAGAAAGGAAAATTCTGACATAGCATAATCTATATAGATACTAATTAATGAGGAACAAGTCCATATTTATTGAAAACTAACTAGATATCTGCCCTGAGCTTGGCAGCCTGGCTTCTGGCACAGAAGCAGAGAATGAGACCAGCGTGTATATTTGAAATAATTTGGCAACCTAAGTGAATAGTTTTCTTTTTTCTGCATAACTCTCTCTCCAAAAAAAAAAAAGAAAGAAAGAAAGAAAGAAAGAAAAGAAAAGAAAAGAAAAAACAAACAAAATATGTTTTAAAAATGGATATTAAAGGAACACCTGGGTGGCTCAGTTGGTTAAGCCTCTGCCTTCAGCTCAGGTCATGATTGCTGGGTCTTGGGATCAAGTCCTATGTTGGGCTCCCTGCTCCAAGGGGAGCCTGCTTCTCCCTCTCCCTCTGCCTGCCGCTCATGCTCTGCCAAATGAATAAATAAAAATTAAAAAAAAATGGAAATAAAAGGCTCTTCTACAGAACATGTAGATGTGTGAGAAGGATTATAGTCCAGTGGAAAGCATAGGCTTTGAAGCTGTGAATAAGGACTGTACGATTTAGTCAACAAGTGGGTCAGGTTAAATTACATGTGTTTGTGGAATTATCTTATCAGTAAATGTGGAAAATAAAACCCACTTCTTGGAATATTTGAGCATTAAATGAGATAATGTATGTCAAGCACCCAGTGTGGGGTCTGGCACATACATTTGGGCCGGGGAATGATAATTTTCATGATTACTAAATAATTGACTCATAACAATGATTCAAGGCTGGAAAAGTGGGGAGATGATTAAGGAAGAATTTAAAAGGCCAAGAAAAGGACAAATGGGTAGAACATGGTATCTTTAGGGCACTGAAATATTCTGCATGGTAAATTTGGTGGATATATGAAATCACACTTTTATTCAAAGCCATCGAATGCACAACACCAAGCGTGAATCCTAATGTAAACTATGTACTTTATGGGTGTGAATCCTTATGTAAACTCTGAGGATTATGATGTGTCAGTGTGGGTTCATTAGTTGTAAGAAATGCGGCACGGTGTGGGGGGGTGATGTTGATAATGGGGCCTGCATGTGTGGGGTCAGAGGGTAGATGAGAGATCTCTATCTTCCGTTCAGTTTTGCTGTGAACTTAAAACTGCTCTAAAAATAGACTATTGAAAAAACAACTATCTCTTAGAGGCATCCCCACGCAGGAAATTACCCAAGGGACCTGTGAAGGTTTTAACTGTGAGTGAAGGTACCCACCAGATCTCAGGAATGGAGGGAATGAAGATGACTGCTCTTTGGTGGGTTGTCCTGATTAGTGATGGGTTGAATTGAGAATTTCAATCTCCAGAGCCATGGGGGAAAAAAAAAACGTAAATTTTGTCACCTTATCAATCTTTGTAAATTTCCCATGCTAAAATAGACAGCTTACAGAATTACCTGTGATGTACTTTGTCTGGAGTTCCAACTTGGCTTTCTGTATTTTTCACTTGCTTTTTAGATATTCCCATTATAAAGTATAAAACAGAAATTATAATGTAGGGAGTAATAGTTTCTTTGTCAGATTGAAATAAAGTAATTGGTAGCTTTCCAAGATAGTCTGAAGGGGGTAAGTTACATTTATGTGATCTAAATCCATTGGTTAAATGCACAGGGATTAACATCTGCTAAAAGAATTGTGCTTGGCACGCAGGTGTTTCAATATTTGCATTTAGTATGTGTTTCAGAAACAGCCTCTGAGAAAAACATTTATGTAACAATCTGGTGGTTTTATTGTTTAAATCTGTCAGGACAGTCATTTTGTTACTCAGACTTTGTGACCCTCTTGCAAGCTGTAAACTATTTAACGAAGTGAATATATTGAGAAAGATGACAGACTTTCAAACTTTGGGGGGAAAGAGTATTATATGAGAAGAATCAGCTTTCCCCCTTGAGACTGTGCCTAATATGTGAACAGCAAAAACAATTACATTGGTGATTTCAGGAAGTCCAATAAATTCCATTGCACAGTCCTACTTTTGAAATATTACATCACTCAGCAAAAGCTTAGGCTCATATATTAGCTGAAATGAACTAATCATGAATTAATTACCATTAGTTCAGTTTTGTGAATGGAGTGCAGAGGTAAGGCTCTGGTTTTCCCTGTGGCCAGCGCCTCCAGGTTTAACGACGCCTGCACTTTGGTCTCCCGGTGCCCAAATGTGGGGGGCACTCTGGAGCTACTCATTTCAGCAGTCCTGCTGATCACCTCTCGTTGCGGTGATTGACTTAATCATTCTGTAATCCACATTGTTAAAATAAGTTGTGCTCTGGTCGTTTGTTTTGTAGGTAAAGTGGGGAAATAAATGCCGTGCTTCTCTAGAGATTTGTGGCTTAAAATCAGAAAGAATATAGAGGAATCAATTGGTTTCACACACTGCCAGATTATACCTCAAGCAAATTAAAACTGGGTAAAAATTGAATTGCCAGTGATTTCAGCTTTATAACATCCACACATGGCTATGATAGCACGTGATGGCTCACTTTGGCTTAACTACTTTTTAAGTGCCTTAAAAGTCTTTAGGGTACATGAGTATCCAGTGGGACACAATGTCTTGTGTATAAATAGCAACTAGTTTTGACTGTTAATATCTGCCCTGTGGCTTGTTCTCACAGAATTTCTTTGCTTTTTAACTTCTAGATGGGTTATTCAGGGTTATTTCAGGCCACTTTGGAAATTCACCCAGGATGTTTCAGTTGGTGCAGATTTCAGATACATCATTGCTTCAGGTAATTGTCTCCAAGACCCACTGGGTAGGGTGGGGGTGTGTATGCCGAATTGTATTTGGAATTTTGTTTGATAGCTTCTGAAATAGCCGACACTTCTCCAAGGCTAGAACTTCCATCTACTGTATTTTCTTTACTTAATAATACATTTCTCAATTGCTGTAGCCAGTCCCATAAATTCTACCTTATTAATATCTCTCCTTTGATAGTTTCCAGATATGGGATTGCACAGACTAGCAAAATCTCCAGAAATTTTTTTTGGGAAACTCTATTGATGGTCAAGTTTTGATTTTGTTAATTATGGGCATGAAACAAATATTTTTATCATTTAATAAATGAGAGTACATTTTAACACCAAAAGTTAAGAAAAGTCTAATGTATGGATGAAGAACAGTGCTTTAAATTTAGTCAATTTAACTAATGCAGAAGTCATGTCATCAACTTATTTTTTCTCATTTGGGTAACAACTTTGCCAAGGATTGCTATCCAGCAGGAGAGATTAGAGAATTATTGACAAATTTCAAAATGGCTTTGGAATGCCTGAGTGGCTCAGTTGGAAGAGCATGAAACCCTTGAGCTGGAGGTTGTGAGTTTGAGCCCCACATTGGGTGTAGAGATTACTTAAAAAAATGAATAAGTAAAAATGTTTTAAAAAGTTTAAAAAAATAAGATACAAATAACTTTGGCTTGGAATCAGGAAACCTGGGTTAGGGGCCAGACACCACTCCATGTTAGTTATTGGATTTTCTCTAAGCTTCTCCAGTGGGACAAGGGATGATAACCCCGGTCTGGCCTTTCTCACAAGGTTATTGTGAAATTCATGTGGAATAATGCATGCAAAAATGTGCACAATGAAAATGAGGTGGTTTTAATAATTTTTTTAAAATTTTTATTTATTTATGATAGTCACACACACACACAGAGAGAGAGAGAGGCAGAGACATAGGCAGAGGGAGAAGCAGGCTTCATGCACCGGGAGCCCGACGTGGGATTCTATCCCGGGTCTCCAGGATCCTGCCCTGGGCCAAAGGCAGGCGCCAAACCGCTGCGCCACCCAGGGATCCCATGAGGTGGTTTTAATGTAAATTTATGCAACATTATGATGAGGTTCTAGAATCCTACAATTGGGCTTAGCCTCAGGAATCATCCGAGAAATCACCTCAGAGCCTTTCCATTTTTCAGTGGCAACACAAGTCATCTCTGGTGTCTCATGGGTGAAGTATATAATTTTTAATTGACCTGGTTTAGATACTTTGCTGTAGCATCCACCTATTGGGACTTGTTTCTTGAAGAAAGAAATGCTATTCTTTCTCTTCTGTGATGGCACTTGAGAAAAGTAAAGGGATTTAATTCCTGAGATTTTTTTTCCAGGCCAATTATCTCTAATTCCTTTCATCTTTTTTTTTTTAAGATTTTATTTATTTATTCATGAGAGCCACAGAGAGAGAGGTAGAGACATAGGCAGAGGAAGAAGCAGGCTCCCTGTGGGGAGCCCAATACAGGACTCCATCCCAGGACCCTGGGATCACGCCCTGAGCCAAAGGTAGATGCTCAACCATTGAACCACCCAGGTGCTCCCTTTTCATCATTTCTTGAATGAAAAATTCCAAGTCTCATTGTCATCTTGTCCTGCTTCTCCAGTCTCTCAGTGGAACTAAAGATGGACCACTGTATTGCAGGTGTGCTGTAGTGAGCATAGAGAGATAAGGTATCAGCTCCCCGTTTAACAAATTGCACTACTAGCAATGCAGCTGAAAGTCTTGAGTGAGATTGTCCCTGAACATCTCTGGGTGCTGTCTTCTCTGCCTTCCCCAGACTCTGCATGTTCCTGCCTTCGCTCTTAGTACGTTCTATTTAATTATATAGTTTTTTTTTTTTTTGAGAATGAAATGTATTTAGCTTATTTTATTTTTATTGAAAAACAATTAATTAACATAGTGTATTATCAGTTTCAGAGGTAGAATTTAGTGATTCATCAGTTGCATATAACACCCAATGCTCATTCCATCATGTGCTCTCCTCACTGCCCATCACGTAGTTACCCCATCTCCTACTTCACCTTCCCTTGAGCACCCCTCAGTTTGTTTCCTATGATTAAAAGTCTTTTATGGTTTGTCTCCCTTTCTGATTTCTTCTAATTTTCCCTCTCTTCCCCTGTGTTCATCTATTTTGTTTCTTAAATTCCACATATGAATTAAATCTTATGGTATTTGTTTTTCTCTAAATTATTTTGCTTAGCATAATACCCTCTAGTTCCATCCATGTCATTGCAAACGGCAAGATGAATGGTTAAAGATGTGGTAAATATATAAATGGAATATTACTCAGCCATTTATTATATGGTAATATACCTTTACCCAATAGTTTCCTCTATTACCTCCTTCAGAACAGGATTGTTATCTTTTTCATTTTCGTGCTTTCATTACACACAGTAGATTCTTAATAAATGTTGAACACTGAACATGGGTCTTTTTCTTGGCAGCCACATGATTCTGTTTATAAATATAAAACTGACAGCCCAAATCCTCACATCTTTTTTTTTTTTTAATTGGGGCTACTGATAAGTCATGCATTTCTTACCTTTAACTGTTTACTTTTTCTGGTGTCAAAGGAAAACTTTATAAAAAGTTAATTTTAGGGGCTCCTGGGTAGCTCAGTTGGTTGGGCACCTGCCTTTGACCCAGGTCATGATCCCAAGGTCCTAGGATCTCTGAGCCCTGCATGGGGCTCCCTGCTCAGCAGGGAGCCTGCTTCTTCTTCTCCCTCTGCCTGCCACTCCCCCTGCTTGTGCACTCTCTCTCTGTCAAATGAAATAAAATCTTAAAAAAAAGTTAATTTTATCTTAAAAAAAGTTAATTTGGCCCTGTACTCAGTGGGTTTGGTAATTGAGTGCAAGTCTGACTTCTAATTTTTTAAGTGATTTTAAATCCAGGTAATATATGTATAAAGAATTTGGTTCAAAGGGCACAAAATGTGTATGTAGCATAAAGGAAGTCTCTTTTCTGTTTGTCATACAGCCAGTCATTTCTCTTCTCTGGATGAAATTGTTACCTATTTTCTTGTGCATTCCTTAGAAATAGTTTGCATACACACACAAATATACATTTTAAAATATATGTACATTATTTTACATTGCATTTTTATTTTTTGTCCAGTTTCATGGAGAAATTATTCACAAATGTAAGTGTATATATTTAAAGTGTATAATGTGATGACGATATACATATACATTATGAAATGATTACTAATATCAAGATAATTAACATATACATTGTTTCCCATAATTAACTCTCCCTTTTATTGAAAGAAAAAATGAAATCCCATAAAATCTACTCTCAGCAAATTTCATGTACACAATACCATATTATTAACTATAATCACCATGTTGTATACTAGATTCTCTGAACTTACTCATCTTATAATTGGAAGTTTGTATCTTTGACCTATGGTTCCTTCATTTCCCTCACCACAGTCTCTGGCAACCACAACCCTGTTTCTATGAAATCAGTTTTTCTTTTTTTAAGATTCCACATATAAGTGATACCATATAGCATTTGTCTTTCTCTGTCTAGTTTATTTCACTTAACGTAATGCCTTCTAAGTTTATCCATGTTTTCTCAAATAGCAAGAACTCATTCTTTTTTAATGGTTGAGTAATATTCTATTATGTATTCATTATATATGTATATATACCTATATATGTGTGTGTGTACATATACATCTATAACATTTTTATCAATTCATTTACTAACACTTAGGTCATTTGCATATTTTTGGCTACTGTGAATATGCTGCAATGAACATGACAGTATGTATGTCTCTTCAATATAGTGCTTCTATTTCCTTTGAGCAGGTTTTCAAGAGTGGGATTGCTGAGTCATATGGTAATTCTATTTTTAATTTTTGGAGGAAACTCCATAGCATTTTCCATAATGGGAATTTATATTTCAAACAACAGGGTACAGTGGTTCCCTTTTCTCTGCCTCCTTGCTGATATTTGTTATCTCTTATTTTTTGATAATAGTTATTCTAACAGATGTGATGTATTGATGTTTGGTTTTCATTTCCATGATAATTAATGATGGTGAGCATCTTTTTAATGCACCTCTGGTCATTTATATGTCTTCTTTGGAAAAATGTCTATTCAGCTGATTTGATCATTTTTAATTGTATTTTTTTTTGTTTTGCTATTTATGTATATAAAATAAATATTTTTACCATTTAATAGGTTGTCTTTTAAATTTATTGATTGTTTCCTTTGCTATAAAGAAGCTTTTTAGTTTGATATAATTCTACCTATTTATTTAGCTTTTGTTGCCTATGCTTTTGGCATCTTACCTAAGAAATCATTGTGATAATCAACGTCAAGAAATTTTTCTCTGGGGCAACCCCAGTGGCTCAGCGGTTTAGCGCCGCCTTCAGCCCAGGGCAGGATCGAGTCCCACGTCGGGTTCCCTGCATGGAGCCTGCCTCTCTCTCTCTATGTCTCTCATGAATAAATAAATAAAAATCTTAAAAAAAAAAGAATTTTTTTTTTAAAAAGAAATTTTTCTCTGTGTTTTCTTCTAGGAGTTTTATAGTTTCAGATCTTACATCTAACTCTCTAATCCCTTTTGAGTTATTTTTTGTGAGTTGTATAAGATAAAGTTTCAGTTTCATTCTTTTGTATATGGGATATCCAGTTTTCTCAACACCTTTTATTTTATTTTTATTTTTTTCAAGAAGTTTCTTTTTTTTAAAGATTTTATTTATTTATTCATGAGAGACACAAAAAGAGAGAAGCAGAGATATAGGCAGAGGGAGAAGCAGGCTCCCCACAGGGAGCCCAAAGTGGGACTCCATCCTGGGACTCCAGGATTATGCCCTGAGCTGAAGGCAGATGCTCAGCTGCTGAGCTGCTCAGGTGTCTGACTCAATAGCTTTTATTAATGAGACTATTCTTTTCGCATTTTTTGTTCTTGGTGCCCTTTTCAAAGATTAGTTGGCTTATATGTGCAGGTTTA